GGGGGGGGGGTTGGGGGGGGGGGGGGGTGGTGGTGGTGGTAGAGGTAGTGGTGGAGTAGTTCAAAATAATATATATTTTTTTAAAATACTTATAAGAAATAATTCTTACAAACACTTTTAAAAAATTACTCAAAACACACCTTTAGAACCCTATTTTTTTCTGTTAAATTTGGAATTTTAATATTAGCTATTAGATTAATTTTAAAGTAAAATTTAAAGTAATCTCAATCGCGAATAGCAAAAATTATTTTATTTATCTTTTGAGAGTTCAATTGTAAATTACTTTATTATATAGATATTATAGATTTGTTGATAGATCAGTACATTTATGTGGGCGTACATGATTTTGACAGTACACACAATAAAATTGGTGGTGTTAAACGAATTCGCGTGTCATGTTTTATCGTATCATTTCAGGCTTTGGTAATTTTAATTTTGTTCTATGTTCATATAAACCGATGACTAAAAATAATAGAAATTATTAGTTTCAGACAAAATTCAAATTGCCGTCCTTAAGAGCATCTCCAACTCTTATTAAACATAGACTCAAACTTAAATTGAATAAAAGCTCAAAATCAATCTCCAACCTTCATCTCAAACTTATACGAAATGCAAAATAAATAGACTTAATTTCTGACCCAGACAAGGAAGAGTTAAGTTCATACCCAGATAACAATGGTCATATTTGTGAGGAAAACAAAATAAAAGCCCCAACTATTCACTCTATATCGAAGATCTAGACATTCTTTAATACATTTTGAATCGAAGTTGAACAAAAAGCAAGAATGAGCAAAGAGTATGCATAGTGTAGAATCACACGAGATATTATAATATAGACGTCACGAAACTTTTTGAAACAAGTAAATTGTACTAAAAATAATTCGTGTCATGTCGGATTTAAGTTGTCTTATTCTACAGAAGCCACGCCTTTGCCTTGGGTTCTTTCATGTTACAGCACTATCCTAGATCAGAGAGAAAGAGAGAGTTTTTATGGTTTTCATTTAGTTTTCCTATACGGATTTCATGCATGTACAGCATCAGTGTCCTTAATTGAACCACGCAGAGCTATTAAGTTTTGGTCAAATTCTGGTGTGGCGATTATAAATGGATCTCTCCACCATCCACCAACCCTACTCGGTTATGTTTAATGGCTCTTACACTTGCTTCTCAATGCTAAAAATATCGAAACAATATCATGTGTTAATAGTGATATAAATGAAAAAAGGGAAATCAAGTCAAGTCGCAAACCATTTAATGAGATTAAAATTATAGGTTAGACCCAAAATTTTAAGATTGATCCTAAGAACTTGGTAAGTTTGTCATGTCGTTTCTAAATCGATCTTATTGAGTTGTAATTAAACTTGTTTAAATCGGTCAATACAGTTTCAACGAAATGACTAACAACAACTCCTTCACAAAGAAGAAAGTAAACACGCTGTTGATGTTTATGTTGTCATGGCAATAGAAAGAAGTTATTAACAAACTCAATTTAAATTTAAATAAATTTAAGTTATCAAAAGACCATCAAATTCTTAAAAANATGGCAATAGAAAGAAGTTATTAACAAACTCAATTTAAATTTAAATAAATTTAAGTTATCAAAAGACCATCAAATTCTAAAAAAAAAAATCAAAATACATACTTTTCAAGTTGATCAAAATAGTTAGAAATAATATACAAAAAAAAAAATAATTACATAGTTTTATTATATATGGTAGGTTCCAAAACATGAATTATATTATGATTAATATAATAAATCTTGTATAAGTATAAAACTTGTAAAAATAAAATTTAATTTTATTGAACTTACGATTATAAAAACAAAAATTAGGGGCCAGAAAAAGAAAATTTGATTGGTTTGAATATTAGTCTAAAAGTTCTATTTAGGACCTTAAAAACAAATTTAGAATTAATTAAACTTAAATTTAAAATTTTTAAACATAGAAGGTGAGTAAATGCTGCCGAGTCTTCAAAAACTGCATTAGGAATGGGTGGGTGGGTGGGTCTGTGGTTGGTACTCCAAATGTTTGATCTCTGAAACAAGTAGTGAATGAGCCATGCCTTTGCCTTGGGTTCTTTTCATCTTTACTTGGGCAAGAGCCAAAGGCAAACCCCTCGGGAATTGTCACACCTGCCTCACCAAAAATGCACCACAAGTCAAATTTCGTTACCGAATAAGTTAGGCACGAAGTCCACCGTTTGGTCTGACATGCCTTAATTAAATCAAACCCGTTAAAGGTATCCACGCTAACAGGCGTCTTCGTCTGTTCTATTTCTTGTACCGCCCCCATTTAAATAGTAACTAAGGACTTTCAACGGTCTATTCTTTTGACCTATAAAAAAATCAAGTTGGGCATTATTCAATTAAGTTAACTACTTCTAGCAAAATACAATTTTTTTTTATTTTTTATTAATCCTATCTGACTTTATCATGGAAGGATCAACCATCAGAATCTCTCTCGTTCTCAACTTCTCTTGCAAGAATATTCCCACCGATTACCAAGTCACAATTCTGGTTATTCACCACGATGAACAATTTTTGGAATCAACTGTTACCTTCATTATGACTCAATCATATCAAATTAGGAAATCGAGTCAAAAAAAATATAGAACGATCGGAACTTATTGAGTTGTAATTTGATCTTATTGGGTTATAATATTTTCACTAATAGAGATCGATGATACACAAAATGAATTTGCACATCACCTGTCAAGTGATTGAAAATAAATGCGATAATTGAAAGTAAATAGAGTTGGGAGAAACAATATTTATAGTGGTTCGGTCATTGTAACCTATGTCAACTTTTGAATAACCTTGGTCGTCTGGTACTTTATTAGCTCAAGGGTGTAGGAGTAGAGAGTACAAGTTTTGAGAGGGAGAATAGAGTTGTGCTCAGGAGAGAGTGTGATGATGCTCATGCCCCCCAAGTGTTGGCGGGACTTACAATTTATAATCGCCCCGTAACAGATTGGGCGACTTAATAACCACTACATAATTATTCTGGTGGAGTTCACCACTTCTCCTCAACGTGCGAGATGGTTATGACACTCTCCATGAGACTCGGTCAAAGGATAAGTTGAGATTTGACTATTCCCAAGGCGATACAGGTGAAGTTCTTGAGCTCTCTTGATGACGTAGGTGTTGACTCTTTCCAAGGGGAAGAGGATATGACTTTTGGATGACCCTGCATGCTCCAAGGTGGTAGAGGAGGCTCTTGATGACCCTTGCATACCCTCCTGCTGATGTAGCTCCTTAATCTTGGTGAGCTTGTCTGGGTGCAGACTTCTTTGGGCTTGACTAACTGGACCTCTTCAAGTTGGGCCCTTGGGCTTGTAACATGAGTTAGGCCATTGAACTTGGCTCATCATTTGCCCCTCCAATGCCCTATGTCCAATGGAACTTGGAAAAGAGGGCATTCGATTAAGTTCAAATTTTCGACTGACCGACACAACTGAAAAAATTTCGGGAGGCCAAAACATCTGCTTCCAAGCCTTTTTTGGACTTTATATAGCATCAATCAGAGCCAAATCTGTGAGTTTTGTAGGGCTCGTCAAGAGTTTCAATTTGATATATTATAAGCCTCATTTGAAGTAACAAAGCAAAATTACGGTCAAGAAGTGTCCTAGAGCAAGCAAGAGGTGTGTTGGGCAAGCTGATTTTTTTAATTTTTTTTTTGAAAAAACTTCAAGAGGCAAAAACTTATATTTCTGGCCCTTTTTTGGACTTTTTACACCATCATTTATAGTTTGGCTTGTCGAGAGCTTCAATTTGATATATAATAAGTCCATGTTTGAAATTACGGAGTAAAATTTATGGTCAAAATAGCGAGTAGGTGTGTTGCGTGCACGATTTTGGGCGAGCAGCAGCTTCTGGGCGAGCCTGGGGCTGCCTTGGGCAAGCTTGGGGCTACCTTGGGCGAGCTAATCAAGCCAGACGCCCCTCTAGTTGCTGTTCCAGCTGGTTTGGGCTAGCAGATTAAAGCAGGCAAGCAGGAGGAGAGAGAGCTGGTCTGGGTAATCAGGCAGTTGGGTGCACGGTCCTTGGCGCCAATCTGGATGGGCATGCCTCGGGCCTAGGGTAAGGCGCCTTGTGCGCTGCACAACATGGCGATGAAGTCACTTTAGGGCTCATAGGCGAGTCGAGCACGGAGTGGGCACCGATGGCACTGCTGGAGAGACGTCCATGGCGTTGGGTGCTATTGGAGAAACGCCTAAGGTGTTGGGCGCCCTTGGAGAGGAAACGGGTGCTGCTTGTGAAGCAGGACTATTGAGTGTTGATATGGCCCCGGGAAACACTCGGCTTGGATAGACAGATGTGCAGGCAATGCCAGATGGATGAGGCCGATTGTTGACATTCAATCTGGAGAGAGAGGCAGGCTACTTGTGTGAAAACAAAGACAGAGTCTGAAGATTGCTCGTGAGAGAGCTACATCTTTTGAGACCAAGATTTTGGCGACCCATGAGAGAGTCCTTAAGCTTGAGGTATAAGCTACCTGTTTGAGAACAGTGCAGTGACCAAGCTCTTGGGGACTCGTGAGAAAGTCGCTAAGCTGGGTATATTGGTTGTCTGTTTGAGAACAGTGCAGAGGCCAAGCTTTTGGCGACCCGTGAGAGAGCCGCTGAGCTCGATATATAGGTTGTCTGTTTGAGAACAGTGCAGAGACCAAGTTTTTGGCGACCCGTGAGAGAGTTGCTAAGCTAGATATATAGGATGCCTGTATTGAGAACAGTGCAGAGACCAAGCTTTTGGTAACCCACGAGAGAGTCGCTAAGTTGGAGGTATGGGTTGCCTACATGAGAGCAGTGTAGAGGCCAAAATTTTTTAGTAACCCGCGAGAAAGTCGGTAAGCTGGATATATAGACTGCCTGTTTGAGAACAGTGCAGAGGCCAAGTTTTTGGCGATCTGCGAGAGAGCCACTAAGCTGGAGGTATGAGTTGTTTGTTTGAGAACAGAGGTAAAATTTGAGGGTTAGCCCGATGGGAGGATCTCCAAGCCGGAGGCTCATTCCAATAGATGGAGATGAGGAGAGCGTTGAGAAACTGGGCGCCTGAGAGACGCTTGGCGCCTGGGTTGGGCGCCTGAGAGGTGCTAGGTGCCTGGGCTGGGCGCCTGAGGAGTGCTAAGCGCTGAGGGCTAGGCGTCTGGCGCCTGGTTGCTGGGTGCCTAGGTGTTGAGCGCCTGGGTAGGAGCACTGATGACCTATGGTTTTGAGTCTTCTTAACAATCTCTCTCCTCAAGCGGTGTGAGCTCAATCACAAAATCATTTAATGCTTGTGCCTTTGTGGCTTCTTGTTTTTTTTTTTTTGGTCCCAGTAGTTAGGTGCTCCTCTAGAATTATTATGAGAGTGACTCCCCATGCTCTATACTTTAGTTTTCACCTTTATTCTCTTGGAAAAAAAAGGTCTCCACCATGAGAAGGGGGAGTTGGGGGAGGAGTTGGAGGTCCCTTGTGGGGAGCTCCCCATGCAGGGTGCCCAAGGGGGCTCCTAGGGGTGTGGCGCCCAGATAAGGAGCACCCATGTGGGGAGCTCCTTGACTCCCAGGGCGTGGAGCTCCTCTAACTTGGGGTCTAGGTTGTGCTCCTCCTTGCCCAACGAGCATCAGTTACAAAATCTGTTGGTTCTGAACCACAAGTTGCTGCATGGTCTCCAGCATCTGCTGCGCATTTGTGGCAGAATTGATTGGTGGAGGAGCAACCTCCTTCTCTCATGATTGGTTATCCTCAGGCTGATTCATGGATTTAGTGGTGATTGCCATAAATACAACCAAAAAAATGTTTAGAAGTAAGAATCTTTTGTCGTTCCCACAGACGGCGCCAAACTGATGATGCACAAAATGGATTAGCACACCACCTGTCAAGTGATTGAAAATAAATGCAGTAATTGAAAGTAAAGAGAGTTGGGGGAGACAGTATTTATAGTGATTCGGTCAATATGACCTACATCCACTTTTGAATGACTTTGGTTGCCTGATTCTTTATTAGCTCAAGGGTATAGAGAACAGAGAGTGCAAGCTTTGAGAGGGAGAGGAGAATTGTGCTCAGGTGAGAGTGTGATGATGCTCATGTCCCCCAAGTGTTGGCGGGACTTATAATTTATAGTCGCCCCTAACAGATTGAGGCGACTTAATAACCATTATATAATTATTCTAGTGGAGCTCACGACTTCTCCTCAACGTGCGAGTTGGTTACGACGCTCTCCATGAGACTCAGTCAAAGAATGAGTTAAGGTTCGACTATTCCCAAGGCGGTGCAAGTGAGGCTCCTGAGCTCTCTTGATGACATAGGTGTTGACTTTTTCTAAGAGAAGAGGATATGACTCTTGGAGGACCCTACATGTCCCAAGGTGGTAGAGGAGACTCTTGATGACCTTTGCATGCCCTCTAATGATGTAGCTCCTTGATTTTGGTGAGCTTGTTCGGGTGGCAAATTCCTTTAGACTTGGCTAGCTAGACATCTTGAAGTTGGGCCCTTAGACTTGTAACATGAGTTGGCCCTTGGGCTTGGCTCAGCGAGAATTTTCTAGAGGTGTTAATACAAACTCTAGCATGAGCAATACAGGTTTCCGATCGCCATAGGTATGACCTGCAATCATAGCAGATGAGCTACATTCTTCTCCAGTATGCTATTTTGAAGGTATGATCGAAGAGCACAGTAAAAACTCTCTTTTGTGATACAAATCTCACATTGTACACACACACACACAGCAAACATACAATCATCATAAACCTGCATTCATGAAAGGTGGCCAAAAAACACAGCAAAAGAGGTATCCGGGACGAAACCATTGGATTTTTGATATCTCATGAAGCTGCCATAGTCCTGAGCCATTATAAGACTGTCCACCAAAAGTGACGGGGAACTCTGTTACAGGATTTATTATAGAATGAACATAAAAAACGCGCTGATCATATGCATAAACCACGACTCAAGAAGATTTTGGAAACAAGAATTAGGACTTGTATTTCCATGACAAGTCCCGAGCACCACAAATCAACAGTGTTTATTGAGGAAGGTAAGTATTAGCTGGTTCACGTGGTCAGGGAATTGCTCCTGGACGAAATGGCTACCCTCAGGCACGGATAATATCTCCAAATTGGGGACAAAGATTTTCACCTGTCCGCTCTTAATGTATTCCTCCATTCCTGGAAATTTCAAGACGCAATCCTTCTCGCCCATGATCAGTAGCGCTGGAGCTTCAAATTTTGGATTGGTTATGTTGAACTCTTCACTTATTGACCTATAACACAATAAGATTCACTTTATAAATGAACTGATTTATAAGAAAAGAACCAATTGCAAGTCCATTCCCAAACTTTTACAAGAATTGCAAGGGAAATGTGTTTTTTAAAATAGCTTATACAGCACAGAGGGCTGCATCCACAGCCTTTTGATTATTTTCTTTTGCATTAGGCTGTGTATACGGCCAAATTGGCATTCCCAAGTTGCAATTGCAATTCTTTTCAATCATAGCTGGCCAACTCAAAAGTTATAGCGGCTGCTGTAATTTTAATGAAATCACGAAATATGCTATCTGCAACAAAAATGCCCCCAGCTATTGTAGAAAATATGGCAAGCAACCAAAGATCAAATTTCGTTTCATTTCCACCGAAACGACCAAGTTTGGTGGAAATTGAAACGAATCATGACAAGAAGTTGAAATTCATGTTTCAGCCAATGTTTCAAAATTAAAATTCCAAATGTTTCCCCTGTTTCTATAATTTTTTTTAAGACATTTTCAAATAGTTTTCGTTTCCGAGCTAACCGAAATGTTAATATGATCATTGGCAGCAACTCTATATCATGATGAGGCTAATTGTCATCGGCTTTAGTTTTCCAGTTGTCATCATTGTAGATAAAAGGGGAGTTGTGCAAGAAAATGGGTGTCCTAACAAAGAAGGAAGAGCGGTCGCTTGCTCATGTCAAAAAGGGATGAATCCCATTACCTATAAGGAACTTGCAAAGCTGTTCGGAATCCGGATTTCTCGTACAAAACTCCATAGCTTGCAAGATCTTCCTCTGTGAACCAAGGGGGTAGAGGAGTAGATGGTTCCACCAAATCCATTATCTCCTGGTTTTCCCCAGCTATTGGTAATTCACTTTTGGAGAAGAGGATGTAGATGTTCCGTACCACCGTTTTAGCATCAAGGCGTCCAAAATCAGCTTCAGCACGCCCAGGCTCCTAGAACGTATCAGGGAAATGAGAGTGCAATTTGCAAGGAAGTAGAATTGGTTCTCCGAAATTTTTACCAAGTAAACAGAATGCCAATTTCTACCTGCCATCTCAAAATATAGAAGCCTTCAGGGAGGTATTTACTAAATGTAGACGGACCTGGGGGTGCGAAAGGCACACCCAATGTTACAATTCCAGAGACTCTCTCTGGGTGGAGAATGGCGAAAATATAAGCAGGTCGAGCTCCAAAATCTTTGGCAATGAGAAAAACCTGTGTATAACAACATGTTGCATATAGTGAGAGAGTCACATATGACTTAATCTTTAATAGGCCTTGCTTTTATTGACTCAAATTCAGTAGTTAACATTAATAACAAACAATTCATTTAAAAAAATAATTAATGTGACATCTGCCTTTGTAAAATGCAAAAGTCTTTTGCCACAAAATGATTTTGTAGGATACGAAATTGCCTCTACTTGTTATTCGAGCATAATCCTAAGATAGCTCTGGAAAATAAAACATCTAGGCAAAATAGCACAAATAGCATGAAGGGAGTACATTGGAGCAGTGTTGTATGTAAGTTGATTGATTATAACTACTTTTATTTTTCTCTTTTCTTTGTTTCTTCCTTGTGGAGATGGAAGGGGTATAATTATGTGGTGACATTGGTAATTAATATAGGAAGTTGGCTACGTGTTGATGTTAAGCAGTCGTTTACCCTAAGAGTTTAATATGTTAGAGAGAATATAAATTAAGTATTTATTCTTTAACATGCCCCTCACGTGCAAGCTAGAATTTGGGTCTAACACGTGAAAATCTTTTAATAATTAGGGTGACGGCAAGATTCAATCACAAGACCTCATGTTCTGATACCATCTTAAATAATCATCTTCTCCTACTTCGATTCCAGCACGAGTTTCATGCTTCGAGCCCAACATTTAATCAATTCTCATTAAGATTTGCAATCTTTTGACACACGTTGTGGCTATAATAGCATCGTTTAAACACCATATCAGTTCAAGTTTTAGTTAATTTTTCTCCTTCCAAATTCCACCACTTGAATTTTGTGTTCCAAACACAACGTTTAGTCAATTCCCAAGAAAAATATGTAATCTTCAAAGATATTCTGCGGCTACAATGTTTCCATTTAACATGGTAAACTTTAATCTAATCTAAGGTAAACAATAGGTCATTCAATGATTAGTTTTCCTCCATTTTCTTGGCAACCAAGCAAAATGTCACATAAAGTTAATATGAACCCATAATTAGAGCAAGCTTGAAGGCTGAAAACCGTCTTGAAAGAAAAAAGTGTCAGAGTTTATACACATGCATCTAAGTCATTAAGGAATCGTAGCATTCCATAGCCAATTTCTACAATGGCCCACTGTATTAATGCTAACCCAACGATATCCCTTTTCCTTTAACGATCCCACTCACATATTAGTATTCAATAGACATTTTAATCATAGGCCGTCCCTTTAGTGGTTTGACCATTTATATATAGATGGGGGCAGAGCCAATAATATCTATGAGAGGGGAAAAAATATAACTTATATAAAAAAATATTTAGCTGAAATTAATACAAAAAAATTCAATTCAAGAATGATAAAAAAGTAAGAATTAAGACAAAATTATTGTGAAATAGTAAATTCAATTTTTATTTAACCGAAACAAAATCTTAATAAAAATACACCAAATAATTTTTTTAGTACTAAATAACCTAATTATATATTTCAATAAAATATAAATTTTTAAAAATCTCTAAAATTTTGTATAAAATTAAATGTAAATTAATTTTTCACTAATTTTCTGTCATTGCGCACAATCACAAGTCCGTAGTAAAATAATTCTTTATTTAGTTGCAAAATTTAGCTGAGAACATTATCTATCTTATAGAAAAATTCCATATTCGAAATAGCTTGAGATATTTTTAGGTTACATTGTTTTGCCTTTTGTATGCAATCGTATTTTATTAGGTTATAGACTACTATTACTAAAAAAATGGTAAATGAAAACTAAAATTTATTCTTAAAAAGAAACGAACATTGTGTTAGATAAAGAGAAATATTGTCTTTTCATCAATATACAAATAGATCAGGATAATTACATTTGATTGACTCAATCCAAAACTAACATATTTATTTTAGAGGATTAGTGGACCACTAATTTATTGGAAAAAGAAAAGATTAGAACTATTATTGAAATTTTCATAAATTTAGGGGGGACAAATATAATGTATAAAATAATTTCATGGGTCCTCATCTAAGGTGGTCAAAAAATGAGGGGGGCAAGTGCCCACCCTAGTCCCCATGTGGCTCCGCCTATGTATATAGAGCTGCAGTTCTAATCTCATACTCGACATGGTGAGTGGCTATTATACCAATTATTATGAATCCATGATTAAACTTACTTTTGTCTTTCCGGATTAGTAATTATAGTTCAAATTGGACGTCCCAAAGTAGGGATTTTCATAGTCAAACCTAGGGCCTTACTACGTACTAGTCGCCCCTCCCTATTTTGCACAAAAAAAATACTCTTATGGTCTATTTGGTTCGATGGAAAATAATAGATGGAAAATGGGATGGAAAATGACATTTTCTTTTGTTTGGTACCGAATGAAAATTGAGGGGAAATGAAAAGTGGGTGAAAAATGTATCCTTTCTGTCACCATTTTTAATCACCCAAAAAATGGGCAGAAAGTGGACAGAAGAAGTGGTTGGTGCAATAATTCTTTGAAATTACCATTTTAGNCTAAAATTTTGTATAAAATTAAATGTAAATTAATTTTTCACTAATTTTCTGTCATTGCGCACAATCACAAGTCCGTAGTAAAATAATTCTTTATTTAGTTGCAAAATTTAGCTGAGAACATTATCTATCTTATAGAAAAATTCCATATTCGAAATAGCTTGAGATATTTTTAGGTTACATTGTTTTGCCTTTTGTATGCAATCGTATTTTATTAGGTTATAGACTACTATTACTAAAAAAATGGTAAATGAAAACTAAAATTTATTCTTAAAAAGAAACGAACATTGTGTTAGATAAAGAGAAATATTGTCTTTTCATCAATATACAAATAGATCAGGATAATTACATTTGATTGACTCAATCCAAAACTAACATATTTATTTTAGAGGATTAGTGGACCACTAATTTATTGGAAAAAGAAAAGATTAGAACTATTATTGAAATTTTCATAAATTTAGGGGGGACAAATATAATGTATAAAATAATTTCATGGGTCCTCATCTAAGGTGGTCAAAAAATGAGGGGGGCAAGTGCCCACCCTAGTCCCCATGTGGCTCCGCCTATGTATATAGAGCTGCAGTTCTAATCTCATACTCGACATGGTGAGTGGCTATTATACCAATTATTATGAATCCATGATTAAACTTACTTTTGTCTTTCCGGATTAGTAATTATAGTTCAAATTGGACGTCCCAAAGTAGGGATTTTCATAGTCAAACCTAGGGCCTTACTACGTACTAGTCGCCCCTCCCTATTTTGCACAAAAAAAATACTCTTATGGTCTATTTGGTTCGATGGAAAATAATAGATGGAAAATGGGATGGAAAATGACATTTTCTTTTGTTTGGTACCGAATGAAAATTGAGGGGAAATGAAAAGTGGGTGAAAAATGTATCCTTTCTGTCACCATTTTTAATCACCCAAAAAATGGGCAGAAAGTGGACAGAAGAAGTGGTTGGTGCAATAATTCTTTGAAATTACCATTTTAGCCATTTAAAAGGGCCCATCTTTTTCTTGTTATTTTATGTGTACAAGTGGACCACATTTGTGGGGTCCACGAAAGTTAAATATCTCTCAAAAGGGTAATTATGGTAATTTGTTGGCCATTTTTTTATTTCATTTATCTTCTCATACCATATAAAATAACTAGTTATAACTCGTGCCTCACGATAAAACATAAAATTTGACTGTTTAAAAAATTAATCACATTATACTGAATAACAATTTTTTATTTCTTTGTTTATTTGATTACATCATTTAAAATTAATTTCTATCTATTATTTTTAAAAAAATAACATCAAAATTTTCTCAAAATGTATAACCCGAATTTTTTTTTTCAAAACATTTACATTATCGTGTATGGACAATATATGAAACAATAATTGTGTTAACCTACAAATTAATCAAATATTAAATGATTAAATATGTGATAGAATTGGATGATATGATTTTTTTTTGTGGGGGGGGGAGAGAAAATATGTGTGAGATAAAAATTCAAATTCCTAAGTGTTTTATTATATAGATAAAAAATTTATTCTTCCTATTTTTTCATCATTCGTACCAAACAAAATGAAGAAAAATTTCATCATATTTTCATTCCCTTTTTTTTCCATCCTTCCTACCAAACATACCATTAAAGAACGGGGATTGGATCATAACAAAAGGTAACTTCGAAACGAGAAGGGTCTGGTCTGAAACAGTATATCAATACTACTATAAAATGTTAACATCTTAGGAAAACTTTTGATTACCTAAAATATCCCTATTAAATACTTAAATGACATGAACATCCCTTTGTCAATTAAAATTTCCAACTCAATTCAACCTGGTTACTATTAATTAAATATTTAAATGACATTCACATGTTCTTTCCTTCTTATAATCTCTTCATCTTTCTTGAACAGTGAAACTTAACTTGGTTACTATTAATTAAATATTTAACTGTCATTCACCTATTATTTCCTTTTTATAGTCTTTTCATCTTTCTTGAACAGTCGAAACCATTCCCCATAATTTTCAAACCTCAATTACCTCTTCTAATGTCAAAATTTATCCTCATTAAATAGCTCCATCAAATAGCAACCGTAATTGAATAGTGACCACAAAGCAAGTAGAGCCATGTACTTATTTAACATTTAGATCTCACAAATTCTAGGAATAATTGTCCAAATGCAGTGAATACAAAACACAATAAGAACCCATCTCTCTCTCCCCAGTCAAAAAATCTTTATCTTTGGTCTTCTGGAAAGCTTTATTTGGAAAGTATATTTCATTATTCTATTTCCGGTCTCAATTCAAATCCATTGTTTGTGTAAATCTGTCACATACCTCGGTTGATATAAAATACACAAATACACAATATGAAGTTTTGTTAGACATATTTTTTTCTTCTCAGTCAGAATTTAGTGAAACTAAGTGTATCTGTTAATATCTTCGTATATATTCTGAATTTTTTTGTACATATGGCTTGTATTGATTTTGTATTCGTATCATGTTGATTATGCTTTCATTGGTTGATCTAACATTGAGAATAGTGTTTTGCTTTTTGATTCTCAATTATGATGTTGGCTTTATAATTCGATTTATTCAAACTGTCATGTGTATGAGATCCTTTATAATAAGTTTGAATCCAGTATGCTAAGCGAAACGAAGAAGAGATCGATGCTTAAAAACCGGTTTGTCAGGCTTTTGCCAAGCGATATGTGCATTATAATTGTTGGTCCTGGTGTTACTGATAAGACCACAATCCTCTACATGCTAGAGCTATGAGAAGTTGTCACTGCAATCCCTACTATTGATAAGTTTTGATTGCCTAGATTAATTATTGTAACTTATTGGGTGTAACTTATTGAATTGAGTAATATTTTTACAACCTAATTTTTTAATCTAATGACATAACTTCATTATAACTATTGGATTAACACAAAGTTCTAATGTTTGGTGGGGCTCACTGTCAATCCAATCATTATTGTGATGTAAATTAGTAAATTCGGTCATTCAATTAAGTCCCAATAACATTGTTCTACTGATNATTTTACTATATAGGAGTTTCAGCTTAAAAGATGTTTTCAGTTTTCCCCTCTTAAAGTTGGCCATTGTGAATGTTCTATTGAATTCTAATACTAATTGCTTGTATTACCTTTTATCCAGTTATCACGTTGAACCTTCGGGCATGCCTAACTCAATAGGATAAAGAATCTCATAATTTTAGTTGCTTTCAGTTTATCATTAGATGAAAGACATATAAATTAACTTTAAGAAACCTATCGTTTGTTAATTTGTGTTCAAATGCAAAAATGAGAGTTTTTGTGGATGCATTTACCATGTATCTGTTTCTCTCTTACCCTTCTGTTTATATATTTATCTATCTATTTCTAATATAAATGAATGGGTTGAAAGATTAAACCAAGAACAAGGGACAAAGCTACTGAAAGGTTGGTTCTCACATAATAAAGAGATAAAGTTATAGAAAATTCTCCAAAAATACTTACTTTCATATCCATTATAATATTGATTTTTTTGGACAAGATGATAGGAATGAAGTGAACAGTTAGAGGTTGAACCAGATTTGTACAGTGAAAAGTGTCTGGGGTTATGGGCTTGAACACCTGAATGATTAGTGGAAGTCAAACAAAGACATTGCTCCATCACAATATGGGATTGATGACATTGCTACAGACCCCCCCCCCCCCAAAGGGTCCTTCTTTGCTCCTTGCAAGGTCATGAGATCTTTAGATATCATGGTGAAATCATGGATTTTATAACCTATAACAACACTTTCCTCATAAGATTCAATATTCTGAGCTAAAATTTTAGCTTGTTAGTAAGCATTTCAAACATTACGACATTATTAATTCTAGAGTGATTCTATTCGGACCTAAAAATTTAAACTAATTTGCTGACATAATAATTTAGTTTCAGTAGAGCCATTAGATACATTTAATTCAAAGATTATAATGAATTAAGTCAATAAATTATGTCCCAATAGCGTTGCTCTTAATTCTATTAGTTCATAAGAAACAATTATGCATATGTGATTAATAATCATATGACAAATCTTTTGAGTTTTGGGATATGTTGGGAATGAAGGTAAGTACCTTAGAAATGCCGAGAGCATCGAGGATTCCGAGGAGATCGTTGATGAAGTCAGCGAAGGTGGTTTTTTCGGGTTCGGTTGGTGGGTCGGACAACCCGTATCCTCTGAAATCGGGTGCGATTGCTCTGAAGCCGGCATCGGCGACGGCGATCATCTGGTGGCGCCAGGAGTACCATATCTCCGGGAACCCATGAAGGAACACCACGACCAACGACCCAGTTCCGATCTCAGCTAAGTGAAGCTTCAGACCATTTACTTCTACGTATTTGTGCTCTATCCGATCCATTATCGTGGGTCAGAGAGAGTGAGAGGGAGAGTATTGAGAGTTTAGTGTTGCTCTTCTAATCAGGTTTGACATTTAAAGAAAGGTGAGTTGGAGGGAGAGAGAGATTCCCGTGTTGGTCAAATTAATAGATCCTTCGGCAGCACCGCTGTCTTTTTGTGGCCATTGCCATTTTCCAATTGGTTGAAGTTGTGTTGAAAATATATTTTTAATGAAAAATTACATTTTGACACTTTCAAATAGAGTTTTTGTCTCAAATTGACCCCTAATTATGTCATTTTATAATATGCCTCCAATTATATTTATTATTTTCACATTACCCAATGTTACCCTCTGTTTGGTAGGGTTGGGATAGAAAATATAGAGGAAAGGAAAATGGGATAGAAAAGTCATAATCCTCGCCCACCATTTGTAATCCATCCAAATTTGGGCCAAAAATAGAAGGGGAAGTGTTGGCAAACGATCACACTATTAAATTTACCGAAAATAGAAGGGGAAGTGTTGGCAAATGATCACACTATTAAATTTACTATAGTACCTCTTAAAAGTGACAGCGGTTTTGAAAGAACAAGGGTTAATCTCATTTTGCACCTTGAAAGATCGTTCGAATTTTAATTTGTACCTTTAAAGATCAAAAATTTTAATTTGTACCCTCAAAGATAAAAATTTATATCAATGTACACCCCCAAAGATTAAAAATCTCAATTTGCACCCTCAAAGATATAAATCTGTATGAATGTGCACCTAAAATTAAATTGATAAATTATACCTAGATCCCCTCGTGTTTGTCACTTAATCATTTGAACCCCTTCACATTTAGAATATTACCCCTACATCTCATGACGTTTATACATGTGTAAACATAACCACTTTTCGTTGATATCTATTAATATAATCGTTAAAAAATATAATTTTATCCTAATAAAAAATTATAATTTCATATTACTCTTTATTTTGTAGATTCGATATACTCTAAAGTTCAAAATCAAGCTTACCATTTGAATGTCTAATAGAATGTAGATATTTATATAAAGGAAAATATGAAAAACATTATATAAATATCTACATTTTATTAGACATTCAAATGGTAAACTTGATTTTGAATTTTAGAGTATATTGGACTCATAAAATAAGGGTAATATGAAATTATAATTTTTTATTAGGATAAAATTATATTTTTTAACGGTTATATTAACAGATATCAATGAAAATGAGTTACATGTTGTACATGCATAAATGTTATGAGATGTAGGAGTAATATTCTAAATGTAAATAGGTCCAAATGATTAAGTGACAAACATGAGAAGATCTAAGTATAATTTATCAATTTAGTTTTAAGTGCATAATGATACAAATTTTTATATTTGAGAGTGCAAATTGAGATTTTTTATCTTTGGGGTGCACATTGATATAAACTTCTATCTTTGAGGGTGCAAATTGAGATTTTTGATCTTTGGGGGTGCACATTGATACAAATTTCTATCTTTGAGGGTGTAAATTGAGATTTTTGCTCTTTGAGGGTGCAAATTGAGATTCGAACAATCTTTCAGGGTGTAAAATAAGATTAACCCAAAGAACAAAATAGAAGTTGTGGGGTCCACTCTTTTTTTCAAGATAAATCTACATAATGGTGGGACCCATGAAAATATTTTTATTCTATATTTTATACAACTACAAGGGTGTTTATGTAATTTAAAAGTTGTATTTTTTTAAAAAAAAATTTTGATACCAATAAAAAAATTTATTGTCTCTACTTTTCTATCCCTTGTACCAAACAAGAAGAGGAAAAATATATTTCCTTCCTCAAATGATTGAAAATACATCCCTCCTCTTTTTCTATTCTTCTTATTTTTTATCTTTCTTACCAAACATACTATTAATGTCTAATACAAGGTTGATGGAAGGTTGTTTTACTTTATACCCTAATCGATATGATTTTTTATTTACTTTGTCTCGATATGTACGATTTTTTCTGTTATAAAGATACCGAATATATTGTATTTTTTGCGATGATAAATCAATTTAGATGTTTTGTGGAGAGAAATTTGCACAATAAGTCACTACCTCGAATGAACAAACATGATGGTAGCAAAGTCTCAAACGTCCTACAAGACAAGTAAAAACTAAGTGAATTGATGGCCGAATGTAGTGAAATGGACTCCGGTGCTCAACTCATATCCCAAATAAATAGAGAAAAAAACTTAAGTGCATAGTTAGAACTCGAATCCTCTAACCTAGAAATTGCGGACACTATTTGTAGTGGTAGAAAGTTATGTTCGGTTGAAACTCAAATTATGTATTCTGATAAGATTGATTTATCATGCAACGTGATTGACCGTAGCTCTTCAATGTTTGAAGTAGTGTTGATTAAGATTTTTATTCCGAAATGAATATGTGTTCAAGTAGGACTCATTCGATAGTTACCTTGACGTGAATGGAAAAAGAAGCTTGTAGAAACTGAACTACTACTTGTCGGGTGGTACGCTGCTTGCCATGTGTCTGTCAACCAACAAGGCCTTAGCCTCCCTTTGGTAGGCCGCCAATCAACATCGATGGGTCTTCCACAATAATAAAAGGAACAATGTGCAAAATTTCATCGGTGTTCCTCCGTTCGAGTCACAATCGTTTTCCATAGTTCAAGCTCTTCGATCATTCCAGAAGGTCCTATTGGAGTCCCACGTCATTCTTTTGTTCAAGCTTTGAGTTCGAGCTCTTTGTCAATTGAGTCACTCTCCTCTTCAATTGTTCGAGCTCTGTAATCATCATAGAAGGTCTTTCGTTCCCTTCCACCCTAGACCTTCGCTTGTTCATCTTGACGTTTTTGGTTCAGTCTTCATTTATTGAGGACTCAATGTTGATTGGACGGATAGTTTTGAAAAGATTTTATTGCACCCGATTTATTGAGAGGTAGCCTCAATTTCGATGACTTTGTAAAATTTTTATTTTGGAGGACAATAATCAAGTTTTATATTTTGTTACCTATTTAAATTTTAACCCAACAATAGAAATTAGGCATTTCATTATCTAAACTTTAAGTGAATAACGATGATTCAACTATTTGTGTTTGGACGTATTTGGGATATCATTTGCAATTGTCCAACACACATTAATGAAAGATGGTATTGATCGTATGGGTCATATGGAGATTTAAGGAATAGTCTAATATGTTCAGATGTCTATATCGGGCCGGTTTAATAGTTGGAACGTTCTAGGTATAATAATCAAAACGATATCTATATAATAAAGTAGCTAGATTATTTGTTTTGAACTTTTTCGCGGCTCAAATCGTTTTGATCAGATGGTTTTAATTCGACTTTCATTTATTTTACAACTTTAAACTCACATCTATCATATAACTCTCTCTATCTATCTATCTTACTCTCTCTCTCTCTCTCACACACATACACACATACTATTATCTTTTTTTTTATCTTTTTTTTTTTATGTTTCTTTGGTGGTATTTTTGTTGTTATTTACTCTATAAAACACATGAAACTGCATCTTATGCAATTATTTATTCAATAAAACTAATTCAAAGTTTATATATATATATATGATGACATATATTTTGACACTTATGTCTTAATTTGTAAATAACACTTAATAAATAAAAAGTAATACATTGATTATAAACACCAAATAATATTCAATACAAAATGAACTTTAAATTGTAAATTAATATATAATTTTATTAAAAATTGATTTTTTTTCAACTTATATCAAATTTTGTCGAATTAATATCAAATTAATTTTTATTGTTAATCAATTTTTTGGAGTACTAAATTATATCAATTTTTTTGGTACTAAATCAAATTTTATTTGATTTTATTAAATTTTTAATTCTTTTTGTAGTAAATTTGGAGAAGGGCAATTATAAAAATAATAAAAAAAATTGGGATGAAATTATCAATTTATGGTAGCAACATTAACAAAAGGGAGACAAGTAGGGTCTTCGTCTAATGAATTCAAACATCAACAGGTCTCCATGTGACTTATAAAATGTTAGGAGATGTCCGTATAATATTGTCAAAACTCAGAGATGTTCGTGATTTCTACCATTAACCATTAATTTATTATTATTTTATCTTAAAAACTTGAGCAGTTATTCGTTAGCAGAGTTTGTTGGTAAAAAAAAAATGTGTGTGAGGTGTGTTTTTGTGTATATTTATACATGAAAGATTTTGTGATTAAATTTATAATTATATTGTGTTATTTAGGGTTAAATGATGATAGTGGTGATAAATTCATGAATTTTATAAATGAACAAGATTTGATTGATTTTATTTATCGCTTGAAGGTTGTAAATTTAATTATGTTTTGTTAGTATTTTTTTTTTTTTGCTTGATATATTTATTACATGAGGATGCAATGGATTGAAAATATGGTAGTTGATTTTATAATTATGTTGTGTTATTGAATTGAGTGGTAGTAGAGATGATAAATATGTAACATAATCTTATAAACGAGTAAAATTTTATTTATTGTAAATTTCAATAAGTTAGGTTAATATTTTTTTTCCTTAAGGTATTTGTATATATGATGTTGTTTTTGGGAGTTTTTATATAATTTTATGACAGTTCCATTAATAATTTAACATGGAGAATATGGTCAATAATATATTTCAAGCCATTTTAAAAAAAGAATTTGTATGTATATTTTTTGGTTACTGTTTTTAAATTTTGACAATTTTTTATGATTTTTTTGTTTATTGTAAAGTGTATTCAGGTATGGGTAATGACTAATATATATATATAAAGTAACTTAAAATTTAAATCTCAAAAGATAAACGAAATGATTTTTGCTATTCGCGGTTGAGATCGCTTTAATTTTACTTTAAAGTTAATATAACGACTAATATTAGCACCTTAAATTTAATAGAAAAAATAGACTCCTAAGGGTATATTTGGAGTGATTTTTACTTTTAAAAATTATTTCTCATAAATACTTTAAAAAAATAGTGTTTGAAACTGTTTTACCACTACCTCTACCACCACCACGGTCACCATCACCACTATCGGCGTTGTGGCCGCAACTTCCACCAACGTTGACTTCGTCACCACTACCGTTGTTACCACCACCACCACCATACTCACTACTGTCACCATCACCGTCGTTGTTGCATCACCACCACTGTCACTGTCACCAGCACCGTCGCCACTGCCATCGCCACCATCTCTCACCCCCCACTATAAAACGATACTTAAATTCCTTCAACTCTTTTATGTGTTTATGATTTAATTTTGAATATAAATATAAATATGTTTATTATATACTATTTTTTATTATTTTGTACTTTCAGACACAGACAATAATTAATATATTAATAATATAAAATAAAACAACTTTAACAAACTCATCCTACGACCTTAAATTAATTTATGTGATGATCACGAATATCCTTCAAGATATTTAGAATCCTTCGTCAACAATTCAGATTATTCTAAATAAATAATCATATTTAATCTAACGGTTCAAAATTTCTCCTGCTTCTGTCACTTCACTCTTCTCAATCCTCTCTCTCTCCCCTATTTACTCCCTATTTTCAAATCTATTACCAATCTAGCCCATTTATCAAACTTATTTACCAATCTATTGTTATTTTCAACTTATTTACCAAATTATCGCTATTTTAAAAACGGATTTGGCAAATCCGATTTCATGAGAAAAACGAATTTGAAAAATCCGACTTCATTTGGAAAACGGATTTGACAAATCCAACTTTATAGGGAAAGCGGATTTAACAAATTCGACTTTATTGGGAAAGTGAACATACCAAATCTGACTTTATTTAGACAGCAGACATACCAAATCTGTTTTTTAATATTTCATCTAATTTTCTTACTGGGATACCACCCGAAATTCTTGACTTTATATATTTTCTCCTTAAAAAATAAATCACTCATTTTTATCATATATTTAATTATTTAATATTTGATTAATTTGTAATTAATATATTTAAAAAAAATTTAATATAGTGGGATCGATTTTTTGAATGCTCGAATTTTATATTTTATCATGCCTGAAGGCACGAGTTATAACTAATAAATTTAGATAGAATCTATTAATAGATTTTTAACGACTAATAAATATGAGTAATTTATTCACAAATAATATAAAATCAAATAGATCAAACGTATTCAATAAATAACCAAATACTCTTTTGGCGATCAACACAATTATACATATAAAGACTTACATCTTGGTAAGTCTGCTTTTCATATAAAAACGGATTTGGTATGCTCACTTTTCATATAAAAGTAGATTTAGTATGTCTGCTTTTCCTATGAAGTCAGATTCATCAAATTTAGTTTTTAATTGAAGTCGAATTTGTCAAATCTGCTTTCTAAATCTGTTTGTCAAATGAAATTGGATTTGTCAAATCTATTTTTCCTATGAAGTCGGATTTGCTAAATTCATTTTTAAAATAACGGTAATTTAGTGAATAAGTTAAAATCAGCGTGAGATCGATAAATAAATTTGGTAAATGCAACAATAATAGATTCCCTCTTTCCTCTCCTGACCATTCGTCTCCTCCCTCTCTCTAGATTCAAACTTCAACAACCGCATCTTTCTTCAGCTTCCAACTCTGGCAACCACATACTGCAGCAATCTAACGACTCCGACAACTCTTCTCTCTTTCTATTTCTCTTCTCTGCAACACAACTCTCACACAGCCCATCGTCCAGCGCCACCGTAACCAGCAAAGCGCCTCCGTCACCACCACAGCACCACCGTCACGATCACAACCATCTCCCAGGTATTTCGTTCCATCGCCCTCCCCTCTTTCTGTCTCTCTGCTTCCCAAATACACACAGAACACAATGCCCATGAAATGTTTGTTAAAATGCGTAAGAGAAATACTCCCCAATTCTGTCTCTGCCAAGCCACCTAGTGTCACTCACAGACACCATGTGTTCGACGAAATGTCCCTACGGACACTTCCCCACCGCGCAGCCCACAAACACCACGTGTTCTATATTGCACTGGTTTGTGCCGTGTTTTCACAAACCTGTGTACAGGTTGAATTGATTTTTGGGTCCCATTTTTAAAAGATTTTTTTCGAAAATTCCTTGAATAATAACTATGCCCATTTTTTGAAGAATTTTATTCCCGAACTATACACCAAATACATTTCCTGATTATTTTTATGAGAATTCGATTTGCATGTTTCATGGCTAAAGTTTTTCTAGTAGCTGTTTCTGTTAAAATTAGCTGTGTTGAAGTTGGAATTTTTTTTTGACATGTATGTGCATGCATCTAAATGAACTCCAGATAGTGAATCTTAATTTATTGAGTGTTTAATTTTTAGGAAGTGTATTTGGTGTTATCCAGTTGGTCACTACATTTTTAAGGAATACTTCATTTTGGGGTACTCCCACGTATATAATCCACATGTACTTTGATCCGTTGTTCAAAATGACAATAAATATGATTTTTCATGCATTCTCACATTTTGTAAGTTATTTAATCTTTCACCATGAATGAGGTAAGGCTGAGTGTTACAAACTCAGTTGCATTATTAGAAATTGAGTGTGGATGTTTCAGGCAAGGCTCTTGAGCATGGATTGTTCACTCGCAATTATTCATTGGTTTAAGGAACTTTTCATATCAGCAATATGGATTGTTCACCAATATCGCCAGAAGCTTTACATATCATAAGTTTGTTCTAGAAATTTTATTCTTATTTACAAGTGTTGTTGCATGTTTCATCAAAGATTGAGCGAAATTACTCCTTTGTGCATTATTTATATTCAGCAGAAGCTTCCCTACGGTGGATCCTCTATGAAGCTAATGCCCATTCCTTTTGTTGTTACTCCATAAAAGTAACCATTATTCGGCATTTTCTTATTGCTCAAGTGGAAATTATGATTTTGTGCTTGAATTGATTGTTGTTCTATTGGTACTATTGAGGTTACCTATCTCTTTGCTTACGAGTTGTGCTTATTCAATTTGTTGTTTTATTGCCATTCATTTCCCTTGGTTTGTGTGAAATTTAGAATTTTGACACTTTAGTTTGTGTGAAATTTAGAATTTAGAAATTATGTTAGTTGGTGCTGTCATTGACCAAGAAGGGTTCTATGTCATTATTTTATTACTCAGGTTGTGCTTCTTTATTTTGTTATGTTTGACTTTTTATGTTGGCCATTTGATTTCATGCTTATATGATGCTCTATAGGGTCCTAATATTCCTATTTGTTGAGTTTTCATAACTGTCCATAGTTTGCTATATACTTAGTGAACAAATGTGTCATGTTACTTATAATAATTTTTGTTTTTTTTTAATTAATTCCTCTGTTTGTACATTAAACCCAATGCTTATTTCCTTCTTTTTTTTTTTGAGATAACCTTGCATTGCATTGAGTAAATGCTTGTGAAAGTGTTGATTTGATGTTAATTTGGTGTCAGAACACACAACACATATACATTCTTATTTCCTTCTTTTTTTTTTGAGATGACCTTGCATTACCAGTTTTTATACTTTCGTGTTTAACATTACATAAATTGTTGTTCAAGTTGGCACGTGGAACTTGCGGTGTATATACACACTTTCCAGCGCATTTTGCGTCAGTTGTTTCCGCTGGTCTGCCGTGTTCATGCCGCACAGTAGGTTTGATTAATTTGATATAGGTTAGTATTTATATCATTTAATTAAAGAAAGTTAAATCAATATAATATTAACTTGTTATTTTTACAAAATTTTGACTTGATTTCTTTTAAAAATAGGAGATCATGGAGTTATCAACCTGTATACATAACTGAAAAACAAGCGTTACAATCCCCAAAAATCAAAAAATCCATACCCAACAATCCGTGCCCAGGGCACGACGCAACCTTAGTTGGACCATCATAGTTTGAAATTAAGTTGGTGTCTACCCTGAAAATGCACAATATAAAATACAAATAAATAGCAATTTTATGTAAACTTGAGTGCACGATGCAACTTTAGGAACAATTCACAAGTGTATTTAGATTACACATAATATATCCACCATATCATATGTTTACCCAAATAATACATCCAAAATAACACGGTTTTTGTTGGTTGTTGGTTATGGATCGTTGATTTTGTGAGGTTGTTTTGTTCATTTTTCAGTTCTGTATACAAGTTCATATTTTCATGGTCTCCTATTTTCAAAAGGAACAATGTTGAAATTTTGAAAAATTTTTGGATTATTAGTAAATTAATTGATTTATGTGACCTCAAATTTTTTTTACTCCATTGATTTTACTTCCGTTAATTAAATAAAATCTATAATAACCTACATCAAATTAACCGAATTTTTGTGGGCTGCAAAGTGCCTTCACTCATTTGTTGTTTGCCTTGGTTTTTTCTTTACGTGTCGGTTGTGTGAACTGAGTTTAGTAAAGTGAACCAAACACACGTGTGATTGGTTTATTTTGATTGGAATTGATGGTTATTTTGGTAAATGGGTTGGGAATGGTGATTTTTGGGAGAATTTTGATTGTGAACTCAGATTATTGTTATGCCTGATTGTGAATTGTTAATTCAATAGAGTTTGAGTTTTTTAGATAAGTTGCGAATTTCTTGGGCTTGTATATTTTTGCGCAATCTCCCAAAATATTAATTTCCAAAAAATGTCAACTTGTCTATATTGATTTCAATTTTTTTAATTAAAGCAACTTAAAATATTTTTTTTCTTCAAATTAATCAGTTGGTTTACATCGCACCGTGCTTTCAGGTATGAGTTACCCCTATTATATTAATAAAATAGGAAAAGTTATTTAAAAAATGCAAGGTACCTGAAGGGCAGGTCATAGACAAGAGGTGCTTGCACCAGTGGTGCTCCGACTAACGAAAAGCCCAAAGGAAAAAAAGGGGAACAAACAAAACTGCAGTCTGAGGGTATATCGTGGTTGAAGACTTTGTCCTATTGAGATCTAGTTACGTCAAGTTTTTCAGGCTTAAAAGTTATAATGAAGAACTCCATACTCTTGATAGGGTACCGAAAAATGAACTCCTTAAATCACAAACCCATAAACGGAACAATGTTACTGCAAAGGATTAGTTCTTGCGAATGTTGTACTTTTTCTTACTTCATCCATATCTTTTAACTTTTTTTTTGAAGTGTGGGGCAAATGATGCCCTCTACTTCTACTTCTAACTAAAAGCAAATGGCCAGCATTGCAAGTAAATAGAGACCCTCGCTCATTTGAACCGTTGCGAGCCGAAAACGTATCAGCAATTTGAGTCGCGAAAGGGCCACTTAATTCTATTTTTGATTCTAACATAATAAATTATTACTTAACCAGGACAGGTTATATGTGTATAAAAGCTCCTACTCAAGACCCTCAAGTTTCAAGTCTTACCATGTCACACATCTCTTCATCTGTCACTCGTTTACAGTGCAGTTTTTGCTTTTCGTCGTTCGACTTCGTCTTCCAGCAGGTAATTTCTCTCACATAATGGCCTGATCACTATTTCTCCCTCTAAATCTCTCCGTATCTTTCTCAACCCTACTGTTAAATAGGGCTTTTGTGGGTTTACAATTCTTTACTTGGCCCTTGGCCATGGATTCTTTAGATTGGACGATTTTTTATTTTTTTTAGCCCCTTCTTCATAGCGATGTATCCAGGTTCAATTTGTGGTGGAACTTTACGAGGGTAATTTGATATGGAAGCTACTGACAGTTTGCCCCTTTTTGGGGATGGAACGCTTGTTTTGATTAATTGGTAATTGGTTCTTTTGATGGTTTGCGGTAAACACTTGAAATTTTACTAGATTCAATGAATTTGGTGGAAGCACTCTTCAGGTTAAGGTGAAAAAATAACTATTTGTGTTTTAGGGTTCTAGTTTTTGGCTTATTGGCTTAATTTTACATTTAAGACTCACTTGGATGGTAGATTTTAATTATCTATGATATGAGATTCACTTGGGTGTATTAAAAATTTGATGAAGTTTTCTTGGTGGTAAATTGCTTGTGAAATTTTGAATGTCATTGTTGTTTCGGCTAAATTGTTAGAGCATTTGCAATGGAAATGTCAAAATTGAGATGACAAATTTAATTTGAAGGCTTATGTGGCAATTTTGACATTTTCACCTCATTGTACTCCAAGCAATATGTCAAAATAACTTATTTTATTACATCTTTATCTTTAAATTTTATTTGAAAGACTTTGCATTAAACACTCAGGAACGCCATAAAATATTGCATTAAAAGGATTTGACATATCAATTGAGATATGTCAAATTTGGCAATATACCAAATTTCTTTTTGTCAATGCTCGGCAATTGGCATACCGGTTGGAAAAGGGAGGAAGGCCAAAAAGATCCGCTGGGTGCTCTAGTTGGCATTTGGCATGCCGATTGGAGATGCTCTTAGATGGCATTAGATGTACACAATTTGTTTCAGTTATAATCTTATAGGACATTTGTTATTATTTATAGTAATTATTTATTTTTTATTATTTGATCGGTCCGACCGGTTGACCCAACACTTGAACCAGTAATCTATTGACCTAGTCCCTTTGTCGTGTTGATGTCCGGGTCGAGTTTAATAACTATGCTCTCATTGAAATTGGGGCATATAGTTCTCTCCTCTATGTTATTTTTATTTGGTGTATTGAAATTGGGGTTTGTAGTCATCTCATGAGAATTGATATTAGGGCCTGTAGTCCTCTCCTCTGTATTTATTTTATTATTGAATTAGAATTGGGGCCAAGTCCACTACTTTGTGTCAGATTTACTTATTTTGATTGACTAAGTTGAATAATTCACTTTCCGTCCGCTCTCCGTTCAACAAAGGCCATCAATATTAACTACACTTCTTTCTTTATACAAATCTTCTTCCTACTTATTTGCTTAACCTTACTCATGCTATCATTCCTTCCTTCAAACAAGAAAACAAATTTTCGTGATTCCTATTCCGATAAGAAGAAACTTGTTCTTGTTTGTTATAGGATGACTTTATAAAGTGAAAGTGAGATTCATCCTGTCTTTGATTAGTTTGGTGTTTACTCTTTTGAACCAATGAAATACATATGATTTGATACATAATAAATTGTCCGTCAATTTTTACAGAGAAATGAACCAATTCTATAATCAATATCATTTTTTTATCTCTTTTCCATTTCCATGCAATTCAAGAGTTCTTATGTGTTTCCACGCCCCTTTATTGAGATCTCATGACAAATTCATTTTCTTAGGAACACATACAAAAGAGATTCCAATTTCGTGTCTTAAATGAAATGAGCGGACAATAATCGGCAGTATTCTATGAGATCCGATAGTATGGTAAGAAAGAAATAGATGAAATCTTCCATTTATTGTGATAGAATAAGTTGTTCTTATTCATACGTTTGGTTTAATACTATGTTTTTGACTAAGAAAATTAAAGTTTGAATTAGCTATGGTTTAAATTCTTAAAAGAACATTAGTATCAGAACAACCGTCATTTATTGATCTTGCCTGTTGCAAGAAGCAACCATCGTCGGAAGAGCATTTTTAGCAATGAACATAGTAAAAAATCGATTGGGTACACCGAATGAGAGATCAATGGATGAACGATTGCTTGATTACATAGATTAAGATGGAAATCTCAAATGCCATTGACAATGAAACCATCATGCAATGGTTCCAAGTTCCAACATATGAAAACTTGTAGAGAGCAATTAGGAATGTTTATAAGATAGTCGAGAGTTTGGATCTGGTAATGTATAGGTTCAATTTATTATTGAGGACTATTTTTTTGTACAAAGGCTAGGATAATTTTATAGTGAGCCTTTTTTGTTGGCATTTTTTGTAAATTTGCTCATGTATATGGATTACGCCTTTTGATGGAAGTGTATTTAAAAAATATAGTTAATGAATATTTTTGTGAAAACAATATTAGTATTATGGTTTTAGAATATTAACGAGTTATAGGTTGTTGTCACTGCCAAATGATCCTGGCTTTGCCCGTTTGGGGATAACAAGAAACCTCTGTGGAATTTTTTCTGTAAAGTCTGACCATATATTTGTTCTTTCCTATAGGGATGAAAATTCTACCAAAAATATATAGAGGATATTATTCAAAAGTATGTGTGTCAAGCACCATATTTGCTTTCCCTTTTCCTGTTTCCCCTCCTTTTATTTAGTGACCTCTGGAACAGGGAATATTGTTCATATACCCGGAAACTATGTTCATCAGTTTGGAATATCCAAGACTTTCTAGACTTTCTGTTACTTATGCGGAAATGCCAATTTAATTGGCAGGGACTAGTGTTTTGTGAAGATATACTGTGTTTTTTAGAAGCCTAGATGTTATCGCTTTTCAGGCCCTGCATCTCAATCTCTTGAGCACTATATCTCCGTTGTGAGCTAATTTAGGGCTTTATGAAAAATGGTGCTCACCATTTTCTATAGTCCATTCTCTTATTGAGGCTGCGAGATGCTCAGCAGTGGTATCATTTGTAAGTATTATGGTTATTCTCAGATTTTTGAGGAAATGTAGAAATAGGGTTTAAGCCTAGCTTGATCAAGTGGGTCTAGTTGGGTTTTGTTATGGTTCTAAGGGACATATTGAACGCACACAGAAACTTAATCAGCTAAAATGGTTCCTATTGTATACTGGGAAGATTGCTCAAGAGTAACACTGTCATATGTAGACATTATTTTTATTATGTAATTTAGGGATACACTACTATACATTTTTTTTTTTGCTGCCAAAGCCATCCTAGGCATCTGAATTTATGTGGTGTGGGGGTTTTTTTTCCGTTCTACAAATTTTGGAAAATGACATGCCTTGTGTATGCCTTTATACTCCTTGTTTGGCATTGATTGTTGAACTGTTTCATAAACACTTTTCAGAAAGCCGTCTGGTAAACACATTGCTACCGCTGCAGAAGACGGGGGAAATTTTCACTCATTATAAAGCAGAGGCTCATGGCAGACTTGGAAAAGCTGCTTCTGGAGGCAGCAGGAAGAACCAGTGCGACTGGGAGGAATCGGCGTTCGCCTCCCCCATCGAGAAGGCGACATGAAGGTTCATATTCTGATGATGGAAGCGACTCTAAGGAAGATGAATCAGATGATGATCGTGGTTATGCAAGCAGGAGGTCATCAGGGTCTCAAGTTCCTTTGAAAAAGAGGTTAGACCCCACAGAAAGAGATGATGATCATAGTAGCCGGGAAGAAGGTGATGATGAGGATGGTTACAATCACGAGGGTGACAGTGATGATGATTCTGTCGGTAGTGATCTTTACAAGGATGAAGATGACAGGCAAAAGCTTGCAAAGATGTCGGAACTTGACAGAGAAATGATACTGGCTGATCGTGCGACGAAGAAAACTGACAGAGAGTTGCAGCAAAAAATGAGAAGGCAGAATGAGAAGATGGTTCAATCAAAAAAGGAGAGCTCACCTCGCACAGTTTCTCGTGGAGTGCGCTCCTCAGCCAGATCTGCTGACAGGGCTGCTGCCAAGGATGATGCACTGAATGAGTTACGAGCGAAACGACTGAGGCAGCAGGATCCTGAGGCTCGCTGGAAGCAGAGAGATGCATCTAGGGGAAGTTCTGGTGGTCGGAGTTTTTCACCAGTAAAGCGGAGAGCCTTTACAGCCGCAACTGCAAGTAGTTCCAGTAGGAGTGAAAGTGGATCCCACAGTGATTATGAAGAATCAACAGGGTATGGTGGAATGGCTGATAGCGATGAAGAAAAGACGTCACCTGATTCTCACGTTCCGACATTTGATGATATAAAGGAAATCACCATTCGGAGATCAAAATTGGCTAAATGGTATTTGGAACCTTTCTTTGATGAATTGATTGTGGGCTGCTTTGTGAGGGTTGGAATTGGGAAGTCTAAGACTGGGCCGATCTACAGGCTCTGCATGGTTCGGAATGTTGATGCCACTGACCCCGATCGACTGTACAAGCTAGAGAACAAGTACACACACAAGTACTTAAATGTTGTTTGGGGCAATGAAAGCTCTGCTGCCAGGTGGCAGATGGCTATGATTTCAGATTCTCCACCTCTCAAGACGGAGTTTGACCAGTGGGTTAGGGAGGTGGAGCATAACGGTGGCCGGATACCGAGCAAACAGGATGTCTTGGAAAAGAGAGAGGCGATTCAAAAAACCAACTTATTTGTCTACTCGGCAGCAACTGTGAAGCAGATGTTGCAGGAGAAAAAAACCGCAACTCGTAGGCCATTAAATGTTGCAGCTGAAAAGGATCGACTAAGAAGGGAGATGGAAGTGGCTCAAATGAAGCATGATGAGGCAGAGGTGGAGAAGATCAAGGCAAGACTGCAGGAACTGGAGGCATCACGGCAAACCCAGGAGAAAGATACAAAGGCTATTAGGCTAGCTGAGATGAACCGAAAGAACCGGGTTGAGAATTTCAAAAATGCATCAGAATTGAAACCAGTTAACACAAGTTTGAAAGCTGGTGAGGCTGGATATGATCCCTTCTCTAGGAGATGGACTAAGTCGAGGAATTACTATGTTTCAAAGGCCAATGGAGGAGAGGAGGATGCTCCATCAGCTAGTGGTGATGCTGCTGCTACATTGGCGGGCACCAACAGTAATGGAGCTGGAACAGGGGTAATGACAGAGGCTGGCATGGAAGCTACTGCGGTGGCCTTGGAAGCTGCGGCTGGTGCAGGAAAATTGGTGGATACAAGTGCTCCTGTGGATCAAGGAACGGAGTCAAACATGTTGCATAATTTTGAGCTGCCAATCTCATTGGCTGCACTTCAGAAGTTTGGTGGTCCCCAAGGAGCCCAGGCAGGATTCATGGCAAGGAAGCAGAGGATTGAAGCAACAGTTGGATGCCAGGTTCCAGAGAATGATGGGAGGAGACATGCACTGACCCTGACAGTAGGAGACTACAAAAGGCGGAGAGGGCTGCTATGAAATGCCAATACTCAAGCAGTGTGTTCTCTAGGTAATGATTCTGTTGTAAGCTATATTAAATAAATTGAACAAATGTTGTTTCTCTTGTATGGTATGTTCCTTTTTGTGCCATGTTTAAAATGATCCTGGATTCACGTTTTTTATTTTGTCTTTCCTGAATTTTTAGTTTCTGTTTGCATGAATTTGGCAAAGTTTAATTAGTTGATTTAGTTTCTATTAATTAGTCCAAGATCTAGTGAAAACACACAGATAGTCACTTGCCTCTCTCTCGGACAGATGATCATGTGAAAGTGAAAATAAACAAAAAAAAAATAACAGACGATCATGTTCCAATGGAGTTTGGCTGAAACGTCTATTCAGAAATTTCAGCCCTGGTTAGCATCTCTTTATTTCATGTATATCTTCCAATTTGAAATCAATGATCGCTTGCCTTTTCTCAGACAGAGGATAATGATCCAATATAACTTTGCCCGAAGCTCCTTACCTGATCATCTCATCTCATCTCAACCCCCGGTACAATCAAAGAAGTCCAAATGACATGACACCAATCAAAGAAGTCTAAGTCAACTGTCATGTTATTTGAGTTTCAAATTTAATCCTAAATTTTGGTCGGTGTAGTATTATTGGTTAAGATTTCCGTCCCCACGGAGATCGTGAATGGACGCCCGGAAAATAGGAAGCACTACTACCTCTCCACGATCTGACATTCAGGAAATTTTTTATGCTTTTGATCTGAAAAATCAACGGTGATTGATGTATTATCCATGAATAATAATTGGCTTCAATTTGCCTCTAGTCAACGAGTTATATTATTTAAATTTTAATTTATTAACATAACTTGATCGTAACCATTGGATTGAGAACGAGTCTTAATAAATACGGAAGCCCACTATCAATTGGATGATTATGTTTAAATAGAATACAAAATTAATTCAATAAATTAAATCTAAATAATATTATCGGTAATCATCTCAATTCGGCTCAGTCTAGCTTTTCTCGGTGTGTGGTGTGATTGTTTGCGAGGTGTCGTACACGGGGAATAATAAGGATTTAATTTCATTTGGACCCTTAAAGTTTGTCACTAAGTCATATGAGTCCCCTTGGGTATGAAAAATTGCCCAATCTCCATCAGAAAACATGAGAGGTGTAAAAATTTAGAGAAAATATTGGGTGTCACGGTTACACCACACGAGTTGTCACATGATGTAATCGCCTAATAATAAACAAACAAGCGAGAAAGTGAACATCATTTTTTGAATATGTGGTTGTTACAATCTTACACAGAGAGGTGGTTATTTGAAGAATGTGTTTGGCTCTCTTCCAATAGTAGTTTTTGAATTTTTTTAGATTTAGGAAATTTCAAAGATCAACTAAATCTAGTCGTATATAGATCCCGACCATTCAAAAGAGAACTAAAAAATCTTCGGGGATGCGAATCCTCCAAGACTATGGATGAATTAATAATTGAGGTAATGTTGATTAAAACGGTGTTGTTGATTTTCCAACACCAGAGAATCTATATCCCCCGACCATATTAGAATCCATTACTTTAGGGTAAATTTATAGTTTCACATAGGGTCATAGTGTAATTGCCCATAAATAAAGCACCACGAGATGCCCCTATCAGCAAACCAATACAAAGTTAACAGAGAAGAATGAAGCCAAGCCTAAGCTTACACCAATCAATTCCTTTCTCTCTCTCTCCAAAAACTACAAAGCTGGAACAGAAACAGAACTCACAGTTTCCATTTCTATTCTTCTTCTACTTCCACAAAGTTTAAAAGCACCATACACAACACAACACAAAACCAACACTTTTGTGTTTCTTATGCCGCCTCCGCCATTGGGGAAACAATGTTCTTCAACTTCAACCTCCTCTGCAATTCTCTCTCCCTCCTCCTTCCTGGTAGAGAGAGAAACAACAATCCTCAACAATGACCATTACAAAGTCAATGTACTGCCATTAACACCAATGGACACCAACAATAAATATACTAAAACCAACCCATGCTCATCTCATCTTCAATGTTTTCTTTCTCTTCATCATTGTTGTTAGAATATTTTAACTAAAAGAGTATTTTTTATGTGTGGGAATTTAATCCCACGTCGACTAATTATCCAAAAATACTTGAGGAAATATATATATNCAATCTCCATCAGAAAACATGAGAGGTGTAAAAATTTAGAGAAAATATTGGGTGTCACGGTTACACCACACGAGTTGTCACATGATGTAATCGCCTAATAATAAACAAACAAGCGAGAAAGTGAACATCATTTTTTGAATATGTGGTTGTTACAATCTTACACAGAGAGATGGTTATTTGAAGAATGTGTTTGGCTCTCTTCCAATTTCATAAGAATTGGAGGATTTTTTAATCAACTTTAAAATGTCTAAGATTTGTACTTATATAGTAGTTTTTGAATTTTTTTAGATTTAGGAAATTTCAAAGATCAACTAAATCTAGTTGTGTATAGATCCCAACCATTCNTCCAATAGTAGTTTTTGAATTTTTTTAGATTTAGGAAATTTCAAAGATCAACTAAATCTAGTCGTATATAGATCCCGACCATTCAAAAGAGAACTAAAAAATCTTCGGGGATGCGAATCCTCCAAGACTATGGATGAATTAATAATTGAGGTAATGTTGATTAAAACGGTGTTGTTGATTTTCCAACACCAGAGAATCTATATCCCCCGACCATATTAGAACCCATTACTTTAGGCTAAATTTATAGTTTCACATGGGGTCATAGTGTAATTGCCCATAAATAAAGCACCACGAGATGCCCCTATCAGCAAACCAATACAAAGTTAACAGAGAAGAATGAAGCCAAGCCTAAGCTTACACCAATCAATTCCTTTCTCTCTCTCTCCAAAAACTACAAAGCTGGAACAGAAACAGAACTCACAGTTTCCATTTCTATTCTTCTTCTACTTCCACAAAGTTTAAAAGCACCATACACAACACAACACAAAACCAACACTTTTGTGTTTCTTATGCCGCCTCCGCCATTGGGGAAACAATGTTCTTCAACTTCAACCTCCTCTGCAATTCTCTCTCCCTCCTCCTTCCTGGTAGAGAGAGAAACAACAATCCTCAACAATGAAACCATTACAAAGTCAATGTACTGCCATTAACACCAATGGACACCAACAATAAATATACTAAAACCAACCCATGCTCATCTCATCTTCAATGTTTTCTTTCTCTTCATCATTGTTGTTAGAATATTTTAACTAAAAGAGTATTTTTTATGTGTGGGAATTTAATCCTACGTCGACTAATTATCCAAAAGTACTTGAGGAAATATATATACTAGTGTTATTTAACCTTTGAATTAAACAGAGATTCTGAAACTCTCACGTGTGCAGGGTTGGGACTCATGGAGGAGATCAAATTCAATGGATTCAGGAAGATGAATGAAAATTCTAAGGCCTTTTTGGAATCATGGGTTTCATGTAATGACAATTTCACCTGATTTTGATTATTTATTCAAGAAAACTGCTGCACAAGCATGGTTTGATCGGTTAAAGAGAGGAAACGTCGATCCTGGGGGCGGTTTCTTTGGGTCAGAACCTCTCAAATTTGCTTAGACTTTGCTTATTATACAAGTTTGGTGGAATTTACATAGACACGGATGTTATAATCCTGAAGAGTTTTGGGAACCTAAGGAATGCAATAGGGGCACAGACTATTGATCTTAAAACCCGAAATTGAAGTCGTTTGAACAACGCTGTAATGGTGTTTGATAAAGGGCATCCACTTGTTTACAAGTTCATTGAAGAATTTGCACTCACATTTGATGGGAATAAGTGGGGTCACAATGGCCCTTATTTGGTTTCAAGGGTTGTTTCAAGAATGATTGGAAGAGCTGGATTTGATTTCACAGTGTTGCCACCAGTGGCGTTTTATCCAACTGATTGGAGGAGAATTCGTAGTCTCTTTCAGCGGCCTAGAAATGAGACTAATTTGAAAAGGTTGCTTGCTAAACTGGAGCAAATTTGCAGGCAAAGCTATGTGGTTCACCTTTGGAATAAGCAGAGTAGAAGGCTTAAAGTCGTAGAAGGGAGCATCATTGGACGCATAATGTCTGATTGTTGTGGCTTCTGTAATTCTTCTGTATCGACATTGTGAGTATAGAATTAAGGATGACAAGGTTATGTATCTTCTCATTGTACTTGTCTTTTGAGATGTGTAATTGTTTGTGCTTATGAACTAACTCAGTTCATTCTACAAATTTAGTAATGAAGGAATATAAGGAGAATGTTTACCAGATTTAGATTACCATAATTGGGAATATTGAGTTCATCTTCAAAGTTGTTCCACTTGTGTCTTCAGGAGTATATCGACTAGCATCTAGAAATCGTGTTCTTGAACTTATCTTTTGCTGAATCAGTCTCGTTTGGTGGGATATGAGACTATGTACTCTTTGGGTCAAGTTTAGCTGTTCTACACGCTCGTGTTGATCTGAATTTGAGAGAACAATTGGATTGTTTCTTACCATACAATGAAGTTCATAGCATCATCGAGTGTCAGCTTGAGTTTACGACTGTTGTGAGGATTTCCCTGCTTCTATTCTGCAGGTACCAGTTTTTTGGCTTTCTGTTTACTCATGCTCAGCATCTTCATGGCTGTCCCTGTATTACTTAGATCATAAAACATTGAACGTGGCTAATACTCGTCTTTGAAAGTTTGATAAGTGATTATTATTCTTTTTCTGGAGTTGCATTTCCAATAATTCTTTGATTTTCCTTCATGATTGAGAGAACAAAAATGTTAATTTTTATCACACGTCTGAAATCTTCTGAAGCGTTTTGCTGAACAATGGAGTTGCAAATTTGGTGATCCAACTGCCAATGCTCATGCATGAATTAGTTGAAACACCAACCTTCTGCATACTCTACTCAGAAGCATGTCCTTTACCCAAAGCCAACACGATTTGTTTCAGCGTATGTGGCCTTTATGCGTTTTTCGCTCTTAGCATCTACATATTCACAATGTCCATCCTGGTAAAGTNAACACCAACCTTCTGCATACTCTACTCAGAAGCATGTCCTTTACCCAAAGCCAACACAATTTGTTTCAGCGTATGTGGCCTTTATGCGTTTTTTGCTCTTAGCATCTACATATTCACAATGTCCATCCTGGTAAAGTGTGGAATTGAATATCTAGATATGTGGAGTCATTATTTTCAAGCTATTTCTAACCTAGAACAATCTTGGTCTTAGGATTTTCACAAATTAGCGAATTCATATCAGAATTTACGACACCAAGACAACTAACAAAGCATCTAAGCCACTTAAGACTCAAAGACTGAAAAAAGTGGGGTAGAAAAACCAAGCTATGATTCAACAATGTATGAACAAGATACATTTTGCCTCTAGGAACGAATTAGACGCTTTTATTACCAATTGTATCTCCAATACACATAACCAAGCTAAAAGCAAAATATAAACAACAAAAAACTTGAATTTTGTTCGCAAAATTCAATCTAAACTCCCAATCTTTACAAGTATCCAATGTATATGATTCTCATAGGACAGACGTACATGAAGCTCTGGACAGTTCAAGCAAGTATGGAGCAAAAATAAAGGATTTTCGAGGCATATTTTGAGCCCCAGAATGATAGATAGCAAGGTTCATTTTGGTGGATTAGGGCAGTACAATCTTCCCTACAGAATGTTGTATGATGTCATCTTGCAGTAGCAAACATGGATGCTTAGCTGATTATTGCTTCTGGACTAAATGCTCAACATCACCGAGCTCCGATTCACCTTCTTGCCATTGTTTTTCATTTTGAAATAGCATTTCTATTTGCTCTAAAGACTTCCCCTTGGTTTCTGGAACACACTTGTAAACAAAGGCGACAGATAGAGCCGAAATTGCTGCAAACACGAAGAATGTTCCTCCAACTGTAATAGCTCGAGAAACTGAGAGGAAAGACATGGCAATCAGACCACTACTGACCCTACTCCCCACTGCCCCAAGAGCTGATGCTTGAGCTCGAAGCTTTAGAGGGAAGATTTCAGATGACAAGACCCAACAAATCGGGCCAATTCCCACTGAGAAGAAAGCTACATTCCCACAAACTGATAGAATAGCTAGTTTAATCCCAATTGGACCATTCCCTAGTAAAGATAGAGTGAGGCCTAGACCGAGCAGACAAATAGTCATGCCAATTGTACTCACATAAAGAAGTGGTTTTCTACCAACTCTGTCAATGAGGAATATAGCTATCAAAATGAACATTGTCTTTGTAAACCCAACGGCAACTGTTGCAGCGAGAAGCTGTGCATTACCTGTGATCCCGGCATCTCTAAATATTGTGGGGCTATAATATACAGTTGCATCAATGCCTGTGACCTGTTGGAAACACTGGATTCCACAACCAGCAATTAGCATCCTTCGAACTCCAGGTGAAGGATTTAGTAATTCACGCCATACAGCTCTCTCTTCATACTTGTCAACATTAGAATGCCCCGCAGCTAGTTGTATTTCTGCTAATCTCTCTTCTACTTCAGTTTCACTATCGTTTGTTTTTAACAGCACCAACCTTGCTTCATCAATCCTGTTTTGCATTACCAACCACCTTGGGGATTCAGGGATAAGAAACAATGTACACCCAATAAATACAGAGGGTAGGATCCCCACAGCAAGCATGATTCTCCAGTTTATGTGTGCAGGTAGTCCTGAAAAAGCATAATTCGAGACATAACCAAGAAGGAGTCCAAAATTTATGAAGATTTCGGGGAAGGAGGTTAGCGATCCTCTGGAAACAGTTGGTGATATTTCGACAATGTATACAGGCGCAATCATGACTCCGAAGCCTATCCCAATCCCAGCCAAAAGCCTGCCTACCATTAGTACTCGGAAAGAAGGAGCCAACGCCATTATAGCAGCACCGCTTTGAAAGACAATGGATGCAAAAGCCATCGTCCATTTTCTACCAATGGCATCTGATGTTTTACCCCCTGCTAAACTACCCAAAAGTGAAATTATACTCAGAATTCCAACAAGTACTTCTACTTGCACCTCGGTGATCTTCAAATCCTCTTGAATAAATAAAATGGCACCACTCATAACACCCACATCTGTCGATAGAAAATAGAGATTACAATTCATAATACGTTCATCAGATTAGATGCAAAGTGGTGTATTTAAACATATGCAATTCTACAGAAGAACTTCTATCCAGGTAGTGATTTATCATCTCAAAGAAACTAATTCAGTACTTTGAAGTTGTTGGATGTCAATTTCATCAGATGGGCCTCTCCCAACAGAAACATTCTTGTGATACGTTTATTCCAACTGTCTAGAGTAATTATGTAGAGCATACTCTTCAATAAAAGAAACTATTTTGAATTTCTTATATTGTATTGCAATTCTTAGTTTGGTATATCAAAAGTTGTACCCATTGCAGAGTCTGGAAAGGGTCAGATGTACGCAGCGTTAAACCCGTAACCTCCGAGTCACAATAGAGCACCTTACTATTGCGCCAAGGCCGACCCTCCTNAAAGAAACTATTTTGAATTTCTTATATTGTATTGCAATTCTTAGTTTGGTATATCAAAAGTTGTACCCATTGCTGAGTCTGGAAAGGGTCAGATGTACGCAGCGTTAAACCCGTAACCTCCGAGTCACAATAGAGCACCTTACCATTGCGCCAAGGCCGACCCTCCGTAGTTTGGTATAGCAATTTTCTCTAAATGATATTTTTCCCCTGAAAGTACAATTTTATGAAATTCCTAAGAACTGTTACTCATGTAATCCAATTAGGGGCGTTTGTTTTGAGTATTAGAGTGGTATAAGGAGGTGGTATTAGGAAAATAGTACGTGGGACCTATCTTATACGTTGTTTGTTTGACATTTTATAGTCAGTACTATTTTTCGGGTCGTACCCGCAATGAACAGTAGCCATAATACCTTATAGAAGGTCTTAATAAATACCACATAGGGGGTGATATTGTATTTTTAGTATAGGTATTATAAACTAAAAAGACCGAAATACCCTCCAGTACAATTCCCATATAAAAGTCTAGCCGCAATTTTTAATTTTTTAAAGGTAAAAATTATTTTTTACATTAGTTAGCCGTAATTGTTGACTTTTTTAAGTAGGTATTACATNGAAAATAGTACGTGGGACCTATCTTATACGTTGTTTGTTTGACATTTTATAGTCAGTGCTATTTTTCGGGTCGTACCCGCTATGAACAGTAGCCATAATACCTTATAGAAGGTCTTAATAAATACTACATAGGGGGTGATATTGTATTTTTAGTATAGGTATTATAAACTAAAAAGACCGAAATACCCTCCACTACAATTCCCATATAAAAGTCTAGCCGCAATTTTTAATTTTTTAAAGGTTAAAATTATTTTTTACATTAGTTAGCCGTAATTGTTGACTTTTTTAAGTAGGTATTACATAGATAATATTTGTGATAAACAAACAAAGAGAATGATGGGATTATAGTTTAACACCGGGTGTAATATACTATTGGATTGGATTGAAATGGAATGGATACCACCTAAATTTTATANCATTAGTTAGCCGTAATTGTTGACTTTTTTAAGTAGGTATTACATAGATAATATTTGTGATAAACAAACAAAGAGAATGATGGGATTATAGTTTAACACCGGGTGTAATATACTATTGGATTGGATTGGATTGGAATGGAACGGATACCACCTAAATTTTATCCTCGAAACAAATATGCCCTTAGTGTTCTTTTTGTGATTTCTCACCATAAGGATTGTGCAATGTCTTGAAGCAAAGACTGGATCTATTGAAATTGGAATTGAAGTTGTATTATACCCAAAGAAAAAAACTTATGAATTGGGTAAATCCAAATCAATAAAATAACAAAATTTATTCCCACTAAGACTAATGATATTAAGCTTATGAATTTTTAGGGCATTCCCATTTGAACAGCAGATCGGAGAGAGAACATACAGGACCACACATCAAAGAATCAAAGAGGTAAAAAACCCAATTGGGATCAGAGAGAAAGCAAAGAGAACATGTCATAGAGTTGTTAAAAAGACAGAGTCTGAGTGACACCAACCATAGCCAAGAAGAACAGAATTAAGAGAGGCAAATATGGCACAGGCCATAACATATTTCCTGGTGCTGTTGGTTCTCTCTTGTTGAGAATGATTGTCAGAGACACCATCTTCTTCTTCCATGGAATCAGAATCCATCCTCCTGTACTTTTTTTTCCCACCATTCCCATTCTCCTGGAGACTCATCTCTCTCTTCCCCCTCCTCCTTGGTATATTATATGTAAAGAAAGTGTAAAATGGATTGTTGTATATCAGGGAAGAGAGGATGAAGACATGACCCGGCCTAATTATATGCTCTCTCTCTCACTCTCAGAAGAGAGAGAATATGGTTAGATCTGAAAAGTCTCAACTACGGAAATTTCTTTGGGGAACATTTTCATGGTCTTTTTTTTTGGACATTTTAGAGAGAGAGAGAGAGAGAGGATTGGTGGGTTTGGGTGTAGGGGGGCGGAGGCAGTGGGTCCCACTGTAATATGAAACGGACTAAAATTAGGTCAGACGTAGTTTTCCGAATAAAAAAATTGTTGTTGCACCTTTTCTGCTGTCTATTGTGTCGTCTTCTTTTTGTGATGATGATGATGTCATTGTTTTTTTTAAAAAAAATGTTCTTTCTCTCAGCTTCAGCGTCGGATGAAGATTGCTGACCTGAAACAGATCTCCTCGAGGCCTGATGTAGTTGAGGTGAGGATGGATGGTGAATGATGCAATTCCTTGTGTATTTTACTTTGTTTTTATGGGTTCTAGTATAGCATGTACTAACGAGGTTTGGTAAATATGAATTACCCTTTGCCCTGACCATCTTTGCTACTTTAAGGGTTTCATGTGTATGTTTGTGCGTAGTTTGTCCCGAGATCTCTTGTTACCTCTCCTTGTGGGGTGCACGGCAACCTTGTTGCTGAGATATGGAATAGTTAGTGTCCGTTCTTGTTCCTTTTAACCATATAATGTTTGAGAGACATTCTTTTGTCGCTCTCTAACCTTTTCTCCTTCCATTTCTTTTTCACCTTCAACTGATTTTATTGGTAGTTCCATTTTCTAAACAATTTTAGCATTCCCCAACTTTGAAATTTTTGCTCATTTTTGTGCATTATGAGTTGATGAACCTCACTTAACATTGATAATGCTATCGGGACTGTTTGAAACTGTAAATTAGATCCTTCCTTAGTTGTTTTGCAACTGCTGGTCTCCTATCCTATGTGCTGTTGAATCTGTTGGAATGTTAGAATTTTGAAGTGGATCAACCAAGGATGCGGTAGATAATTAGTGGTTACAGAAGATTTAGTGTAGGTAGTTACTTGTTAAGGTCTTTGATTTCAGAGGATTCCTAGAGCTATTTTGTGTTCTTATTTTCATGTGGCAAAAGGGATGGTTTTGTTTCTGGAGAGGGTTTTTGATTGAGGACTCTATGTTAGAATCACCTCGGTTTGTCTAAATGACCGTCAGCTGAGAAAAGAGTGGTTTTTCATGATGAAAAAAAAGGTGTAGTATAAACAAACTTTGACTGAAAAGATAACTGACAATATCATGAGCGGGTTCAATATTTAGAGATCCTTTATTGTGTAGTGCATAGTTTAAGATGTGGTCAATTCTCTGGAAATTCCCTAATGTGATGTTTCTTGTTAACACGACACCTTTATTCTGCTAGTTGTTATAGTTCATATTATTGCTATTATTGCTGATATCACTATGCTGTTGTCATTGTCGTCATTTAGTAATTTATAATTTCTTATATTTTCAGTTATGGGATGCTACTTCAGCGGATCCTAAGCTGCTTGTCTTTCTGAAATCTTACCGAAATACTGGTCCAGTACCGAGGCATTGGTGTCAGAAGAGGAAATTTTTGCAGGTGAGTTACTGCAGCTAAAATGAACACCTTGAGTAGTGATGATAATACTCCATGTTTTTTGCAAACTGATTGACTAATAAAGATGCTGGGCATACAAAAATGAGGGTTAAGGAAGAGGGTGGTGCAGATATCGTCGATGAGGTTTGTCTTATATGTATATATGTGGTTCTTGCAGGGGAGCGGCTGTGGCCATTATGGAGCTTGGACATGTAGGTGTTTGGAAAGGGGGACCCTTGCATTGTTTCTCTTTTATTATGTTTACCAGTTTTGGGTTGGGATATAGACATTTATATGATAATATTTGTGGATAAATAAATACGTCTGGCGTAAGATACTTTTTCCGTGAGCTAAACATTGGATTTCTTCCTTGTAAGATGCTAATTAAGCTGTTTTGAATTTCAAATCTCATCACTTTGTGATTAACTGCTGGGGCTAATTAAGTTTCCTATACTGGGCTCGAAAATTCTTAACCGACTGATTTGGGGGGAGAGTTCCTTGACAAGTTATGTGCTGATTTACTTGTACCTTATTGGGTTTTGCATTTATGTTGCAGGAGAAGCGTGGTATTGAGAAACAGCCATTTAAATTTCCTGATTTCATTGCTGCTACTGGGATTGAGAAGATTAGACAAGTAAGCTCAATCTCGTGTCCTGTATAGTAACAGTTGGTCGAACTTGCTCAACAAAGCATATAGCTTGGTATTTTTCTAATAATGAATTGGAACATGCTAAAAAAGCTTTTATTGCGACCTTCTGTTTGTTTTGAGTGAGATTTTTTCCTCGCTCATTGGATCCTACCAGATGGTATGAAGCCATGCTTAACAATCTCAATGAGCACTGATTTGATCATGCCCTTTCTTTTCAAACTGAGAAGTCTACATAGCTGTTCCAATACCATGTCTTGACTCACTAGGTGTAACTTGTAAATTCTTATTATGAGCGTAAACTGGGAATAGCTAGTCACTCTTATTAGATAATTGGATATGTACTGTTGTTCCCATGCCAACAAAAACAATAAATAAATTAATGGATAGCTATGACTCGTATGACCAATTGTTCTTGCTGATAAACTATAGAACTACGAAACAATTTTTTTTTTTTTGTCAAAGTCAAACCAATATCTTTCCATCACTCACAATTATGTCGAGGCTCGGGGGTGAAGATAAAATTGTTTTTGTACATAACCTGTCAAATCTATTCATGCTTGTGAAAATGGAGTTTCTTTCTTTTCTGATAATTTTACCCTTGAAAATGTGCCTGGCTTTTGGCCAGGTGCTTGGTCCTGCGGCATATTGGGTGGCCCCTTCTGGCACTTCATTTTAGCTCTTACCTCAGCCTCATTGAACTTTGAATTTCTGTCCATGCGAAATGTGGTAACTAAATATATAGTACAAAATAGTATGGTGTCGAAACTTCCTTTCGATAGTGGATGAAGCCAGTGTGATCAGCTTATGCATTAGATGCTATCCCTAATTCCCTATTTCATTGTCTATCAAAAAAAGAAATGAAATATAGTAAAGAGTAAATACCATTGATACATATATCTATGAACATGCATTCTTCATCTCTTTCTTCCCCTGGCATTTGGATCCTGCTTACTGCCCATGTCCATCATACTTTAAATCTCTTTCCCTTTCATTACTTACATTTTTTTTAATCCATCTGAAGAGTATGTATTCTTGTCACCAGTTTTAAACCTGTTGGGCTTTCTTGTGGTGTTCTTATGCAGGCGTACATTGACAAGGATAGTAAGAAGCTTAAACAGAAGCAACGTGAGAGGATGCAACCAAAAATGGGGAAAATGGATATTGATTATCAGGTTTTTCCAAATTCTTTAATTCTAAATTGTTAGGACTTAGCATTTTCCTAGTCTTTTGGAGTGAAATTGTTGGCCTGCATATTTGTTTAGTCCTTTCCCTTGTTTTCATATTGTTTTGACACTTACTGTTTTATGGTTTTTTCTTCGTAGGTTCCCCATGATGCATTTTTTAAATAACAAACAAAACCAAAGCTGACGACACATGGTGATATGTATCATGAAGGAAAAGAGTTTGAGGTATGGACATTGTCTAATAAACAGACATTAATGTGCAATTTTTTTTGGTGTTCCTTAACATATTAATTATCTTTTCAGTTTTGTGTGGTTATTTACTTATTCTCTAGTATGTCCAGTCGACCTAAATATTAGCCAATACAATCTTGACCATCCCAATGATTTTTTTCTTCTCTACTTCATCGTAAAATCAAGTCTAACCGCACCATTGGTGGCAATAGTGTGGCCTCTAATTGCACCATTGGTGGGAATAGTGTGGTTTATTTTAGAGAATGCAATATGCTTCATTTTTCATCCATTTGCATGCTATACAGGTAAAGTTAAGGGAGATTAAGCCAGGAATGTTGTGACGGGAATTAAAAGAGGCTCTCGGTATGCCAGAAGGCACTCCTCCTCCTTGGCTCATCAATATGCAGGTTAGATAAGATAGCCTGTTTTGGTTGGTTATCTGCTTGATTTCGATCATCAATTCATCATAGTTCAGTTTGGACTATTGCTCCTTGTGTTCTTTGCTGAAAGATCAAATACTTTGGTTTGAATTTTTTCATCTCAACTGACATTTGTTAATGCCAGAGATATGGTCCTCCACCTTCTTATCCACAATTAAAAATCCCAGGACTGAATGCTCCTATTCCACCTGGAGTTAGTTTTGGCTATCATCCTGGCGGCTGGGGCAAACCACCCGTTGAGGAAGTAGGTTTTTTCCTCTTACACTTGTTCTTATTTTTTTATAAATTCATTTATTCTCACGCTTATTTTGTGTGACATTGTTTTGGTGTCTTACCTTTTCCTTTTGCCCTTTCTTTTGTTTTTTAAACCTTTTGCTTTGTTATAGCATGGACGTCCTTTGTATGGAGATGTCTTTGGTGAATACCAACAAGAACAGCCCAACTATGAGGTACTGTATCATTTTTATTATTTGCTTTCTATAGTTCATTTATTATGAGTGCTGGCCAACCTTTCTTCCCTTAAAAAATTACGGTTCTTTTGAGCAAATCTTATCAGCTGAGTGTAGTAGTTGGAGATAAGTAGCATCTATCATTTATCTGCCAAACTTCCATTTCTGGATTATATCTGTTAGTGGGAATGCCATGGCTCTCCATATCTTGTGCAAAGGTCTATGGATAATGGAAAGACCAAACTACAGGATCACGACATGATTTATAGTCCTAATATGGGTTTGATTTTTTTTTTCCCAATAAGAAACATTTTATTAAAAATCAAAGCGAAGATTACATGAAAACCAAATCAAGTGTGGACAAGAAGTCCAACACAAATACAGGCCATACAAAAAACGATTAAACTACTAGCCACATGATGCTTTCCAACTTGTCCTAATACAAAGGAGAGGAATATCTACAAACAATCTAGACATGGAGGCCCAAAAAGCGGCTAAAAAGTGAAGTCTATCCCATAGTTCCCTCGGCTCTTCACATTTATCTTCAAAAATTCTTGCATTGCCTTCCTTACAAATCACCTA